ATAAGTTAGTATATATTAAATCTAAGTAGAAAATATATTATATTTAACTTTTAACTTATTTTTTATTTATATCTACTATTATAATATAAAAACTTTAATTTATAATAATATAAGTAAAATTAATTAATCTTTAAGATACTTTCTTAAATATTTTAAATATCTCTATAAATATTTTATAATAAGTAATATATATTTCGAGATTTATAAAAATATAATAATAGATATTAATTTTTATTTATAGTTAATATATATTAATCGTAAATAGAGTATAAATTATATTTATAATTAATATTCGCGTTTTATCCGATAAGCGAGAAAATCTATATCTTTTCTTATATTATTTTAAAAGCTAAATCTATTTCTATATATTAAATATATTAAAAGATCTTAGCTTATATATATATATAGTATATAATTATATAATACTCTTTATTAAAGTAGATAATTAATTAAATTTATTAATCTTTACTATCTTTTAGCTAATTAAAAGTATATTTATATTAAATTTCTATTAAAGTATTTATAAAGTTAAAATAAAGTTTAAAGAAGTATATACTTATTATAAGTTATATATCTATTAAAGCTATATTAAATTTATATTTTAATAATCTCTACTTTCAAATTAAAGTAGAAACTTAATCTTTAATATTTAGACTTTAATAAATCGCTTATAGCGAATCTTTATTATATTTCTATTTAAAACTCGCGAGAAATAAGAAGATAATAAAGTATTTTGAAAATAATTAGTATATATATAGCGCTTATTTAATATATATTTAACTTATATATAATTAGATCTAGTAAATTATATTTCTTAATAATTTTAATAACGTTATTTATAATAGCGTTAGAGAGCTTAATTAGATATAGCGAATAATAAGAATATACTTTATATAAGATTAATATAAAAAATAAAAAGCGATCTTAATTATTTAAAATATAGAGATTAAATTATATATTATAGCTAAATAACTTTATCTTATCTTATTCTTAAAAATAATTAAATATTATATAAACTTAATATATATTAAATAGAGAATTAGAATAATAAGATATTTACTTATTATACTATTTATATTATTATATCGAATAATCTATATAAATATAATTCTCTTATAAGAATTATAATCTAAATTAAATAAGTTTTTATAGATAATTAAGATTTATACGTATAACTATAAATAATAAATATCTTACTTAATACTATAACTTTAAGTTATTATTCTATAAATAACTAACGAAGATAATTTATAGATTATAAGTATATACTTAATATTTACTCTATATATATTTATTTTATTTTACTTAAATATCGTAGATAATTAATTCTAATATATCGTAATATTCGATTATAGACTTTTATAATATATACTTTACGTCTACTAATCTATAAAAAACGTATTATATTAATACTCGATATTCGTTTTAAGATATTTCTTAACTAAATAAGAGTAAAGTAAAGAATTAAATCTTTATTAAAGATTATTAATATTTATAATATTAACTCGATTATACGCTTAATATAGAATAATTATATTTCAATAAATATATTAATAATATTTAATCTTACTATATTTAAACGCTTACTTTTATATCGCTTTCTTTTTATTCTTTTTATTATTTTTAGCTAAAAATTATATCTTAATAAACTTTATTTAAAAATAAATTATATTAATCTTTAGATAATTAAATTATATTTAATTTTAATTAGCTAAGATATATTTAGACTAAGTATATATAGAGTCTATCGTAAATATATATTAATAAATTATCTCTTAAGTACTCTTATAATTTTTTCTATCGAATTTCGATCTAATATATATAAAATAAAGAATTCTATTTATACTTATCTTGGAATATTTAAATAGAATAATTGTTACGAACAGAATAACTATTTCTATCACTGAGTTAAAAGAGCGTGGATTCTATTAAGATAGTAGAATTCTTCTAGTTATACTATATATTCATAATAATTATATACTTCGAAAAATGGCGTATATCCCCATGCGCTGGCCTATACGTATGTTTCTATATAGAAGCCCTTCGGATATACACAGCCGTAAGTTACTTGATGGCCTGGTGTGTATAGCTTAAGAAAGGCACAGGGTTTATAAGCCTCTATCAAATCTCAGTGTAGCGACAAGTAACCTATCTTAACTAACCGACCACACCCGGAGTCGAACCGGTGTTACTACCATTTGTCATGGATAGGGCGACTATCCCTACCACTAGATCAAAAGAGCGTGGATTTCGTCAAGATAGTAGAATTCTTTTAGTTATACTATATATTCGTAATAATAATATAATCTTAAATCTTATTAACTATTACTTTATACTAGTTATTTTAATTAATAATAATATTTATCTTTTTAATTATATTTTATATATAATTAGTATATATAAATATTAATATAGTATAGATTTTATTATAGAAGTTAAGTCTATAGAGAGAGAAATAATAGACTTTAAGCTCTTTACTTTTAAGTTATCTTATTTATTATTACTTTTATTATAAAAATCTAATAAATTAAACTAAGTTATTTATTAATATATATATTATATATATAATATAGATATAATATATATATAAGATATAAGTATTTTAATATTATTTAATTATTAAGTAATTTCCGCTATAATAGCGTTATAAACTTATTAGATAAATATATTAGATATTATAATATATACTAGATATAAGTAAGAGTAAAATTTTAAATTTATAGATGAGTTACCCCGCGCGGGCTAACGTCGCTAGATTAAATTTAATTTTCTTTATTCTCGATAAGGTGCTGATATATGCTGAGTGTATCCATTTTATCTCGGACGAGGTGTATATACTTAGCATCTACTCACCCCTGCCGAACTTTTTTTCACCCCTGCCGAGCTGTGAGCCCTATTTATTTAAGCGGTGCTTAGTGGAGAAGATGCGTGGAAATTCTGAAGCTTGGCGTGGACGACATGCCATGTCCTGCAACATGACAGAATGTGATACCTACATCTCCACACTCATGCTTCGCCATCCTGCAATGTCCGTACGCGTGTCGAGAACGGGCTCGATAGCTCAAAGAGGAGCCCCAGCAGTCTGGAAAGTCGAAGAAGATCAAATCCCTGGGACTCGTTGAAGCTTGCCATCCAACCTGGCCAATCTTCTTACAAGTGGCTGCGTTCTACGCGAGGTCTACCTCTCTTTTCGAATTACTTATCAACGGGAAGGCTCTGGCTGCTTGCAGCACCCTGTTCACTTGGTCAGCGTGGATCCATTCAATCCCCGTTCCCATTTACATTCACATATCCTGAGATTTGCGCTCCGTTTCTTCGTCTTCTGTCTTCCTCCTCATACTTTCTTCCTCTCAACCTGTCTCTTTTCTTCTCGGAAACCTTCCTTCTTTCTTTCAACAGCTCTCTGCGTCTTAAAACCTCTCTTCCATTCCCAGTCCTAGCTTTCTACCATTGCAGCTCCACCCTTGCGCACGGACAAAGTATCCTTCAACCTCCTCTTGCTCCCTCTTCCTTATCCAGCTCTCCTCTTCACCTCAACTTCGCGGCTTTCAGCCATCAAAGCTTCAATCGACAATCTCCATAACCAAATCACCAAACGTTCAACGAGCAAGATGCCAATCAGATGGACTCCCGAGACAGATCAGATAGTAAGCTCCCATACGTCCCGTCTCATCTCTCGCTTCTCCCTCCTCTCAAGTCTCGCCCAAAAGAACTTTTGCCATGAAGCTGATCCACTATCTGAAGCTCTTGCTCAAAATCCTCGAGACCTCTGACGTTTCCCCCAAATGTGCCGAGATTGCCGAGAGATGGCGTAAGTCCTTTCCACAAGGCTCCTCCATAGCCCTATGTTGACAGGAACACTTCAGCTGCCGGCCTAGACCGTCTTACTTCACGTGCAATCTCCGAGCGCATCTTCAAGATACGCGCTAAAGCTAAAGCCTCGGGTACTGCTGGCCACTTCGCCGTGCCCTCTGCCAACTCCAACGCTGGCACACCACGCAAGAAGGCCACAAATGGTATCGCAAAGAAAGCTCCAGCGAAGAAGACCAACGGAACCAAAGGCGGAGCAGGCAAGCGTAAGCGTGGTGGTAGGATGAGCGACGAGTATGTCCACCTACTCGGTTACTTTGACTCGAGTTGAGATACTGACGACTTTGAAGCGAAGTCATGGACGACACCGAACCTGATGGCTTCAAGTCCGACAACAATGGGTCAGAGGCTACGGATGACGAGGTTCCCAAGAGGAAGACAAAGATCAACAGCACAGCCAAGGGCAAGGGTAAAGACGGGGACCCAGTCAAGGTGAAGGGTGAAGAGGAGGAGAACGGCACCTTCCACGACAGCGTCTATGAGGACCCTTTTGACGAATACGATGCTGTAGAGTCGGTTGCCTACGCTTGAGGAAGCTAGGCGAAGGACGTTGAAGGAAGCTCGAGGGATGAACAAGTGGCAAGCAGATGGGTCCCTCTTCCTTCATGAAGCCTTTTGTCAATATCAAGCAGCCACGAGATTAGAGGAGCTTCATCATGTATCTTACGCAACGAGCCTTGCAAGTCTGGGCCATGCAGCCAGGGCGGGTGGTGGCTTGTATTGCATGGCATAGCATGCCACTGCAGCAACCAAATCAATGACAACATACTAGTTTCTACATGATATGCTCGTGTGATAAAGAAGCACTATCATTGACATGAACTGCACCGATATATCTGCTTTTGCATTGGATTTGCATCCCCATCAAGTGGGACTAATAACGACATTGACCCTCCCTATCGTCAAGCTGAACGGTAAAGACAACCACCACCATCCAGCCAAGCCACAACCTCCCGTCCTCAGTCCAGCCATCACCCGAGAAACACATCGCCATCGAACCGGGCACCTGTCAAGATCATTCCCAGCACCAACATGCTTTCGTCCAAGCGCGAAGATCCATCCATCCGAGCCAGCCAAAGTTTCGGCTCCAAAGCTCAAGCCAGACGACATCCCTCGCGTTGCCCCCGGTATCAAGCATACCGGACCCCCCCTTCCCCCTCTTCGGCATCAGTACTCTCATCCTCAAGCGCCACACCAGCGATAGTAGCCTTGACCTTCTTGCTCGGCACCTCCACCTTCCCCTCCTCCCCCTCTTCATCCTCGCCCCCCTCATCCTCACCGCCATTATACGCAGCGAACACATTCTGCAACGGGCTTCCACCATTACCCTTCTCCTTCCCGTTCCCATTCTTGACAGTGCCCGCAGCGGTGCGCTTAGCGCCGGCAACGTTAGGGGTCTTGTTGGCGGCTTTCTTGCCGGCTGGAGCAGGGGCGGTGCGGGGGGCACGCTTGGCCGGGGCGCGCTTGTTGGGCTGGGGAAGGCCGAGGCCGGAACTGGCGCCCGCGACGGGGGTGGAGGCGTCTTCGGCCATGGAGCGGAGTTTGGCGACGCGGTGGACGAGGGCTTTGGGGGTTACGTCTGGGGGGAGTGGGAGGTTAGCGGGCTGGGATTGCGGGAACGCGTGGATGGCGAAGGGTGTTGAGTAGGTAAAGAGGGGGGGAGAAGGGCTTTTTTGTTCGATGAATGTTTCGGGTGAGGAAATGTGGTGGTGGTGGTGGTGGTGGTGGGGGTAAAGATAATGAAGGAGACAATAAACGAGCGTAGGCAAGATTGGGGAGCCAACATTTGCACAGAATGGGTAGTAAGTGGTGCTCCATGCCGCTGGGTTGATTTGTCCAGGCGTTGCGACAGTAGACAAAAGCACAAGGCGCTTACCATTTCCCATAGCAATAGCAAGGGCACCGTAGTCAAGCTTGACATTGTGGATCTTCAACACGTGCATGAAGAACTGCAACACAGGGTCAGCGCACCATACCACACGAGCTAACACAGAAGACCCAAGATGTGGGCGGCAGAAAGTCTCGCTGTCCAAGTTTGACGTTGTGAAGGTGATGTGAGGACATACCTTTGCATCAGATTCAGGACCCCACTGCATTCTGGCGGTGGTTTCGCGGTATCTTGACTGTCGGTTGTGTAAGAGGCCAGGTCGCAAGTGAGCGACGCTGCGAGGTTTGATGGGCTGTTGTTGAAGAAGTGTGTTGGTTGAAGGGTAAGATGTCGTGAGTGAGGAGTGCTTGGGTTTAGTGAAGGAGTATTTGGGTTTGAAGGATGGGGGAGGAAGGGGGGTTTTGTACTGAGCCCGGGTTGTTCACCCGTCACTGTGTCGTGGTGAAGTGAAAGGATTAGGGAAGGGGTGCGTGGGACCGGATTCTGGCTGGGAAAAAAATTGATGGGGATGGTGTCTCTAGAGTCGTTGACTTTGATAGGTTTGATGCCCTCGTCGATGACTTCCTTGGAGATGCTACCCCTTCTACCAACCACGATACGTCGCAGTCACGGCTGATCTTAGGTCCTCAACACAATCAATAAATGGACTTCACTGACCTCGTCGTCCTAAGACCCAGACAGTGTTGAGGTCGTTGAAACGAGAACAAGCTTAGGGAAGGTCTTCCAAAATACAACTCCGTGGGTAGATACTGGGCTAAGTCAACAGCAACCGGGATTTTTACTTCATCAATAATCAGAGCTGGCTCTCACTTCGACTTTGAATCTGGTAGTTATAGGCGGTGGGGAAAGTGGAATGGGAGGGCCACCTTGTTTGAAGGAATCCAAACTTGACGCATCGATGCGCTTGCTGAGCTGCAAAGTACCTTGCATTGTGCCATGGGATGATCCAACAGGACCCTCAGACATTGGCCGGACTTTCAAATCGAGCGGCTGTGCTCGCGCTCATCGTTAACCATACAGCCATGCCCACTATTTGCCGAGACTTGTATACCGAACTGTCAACAATGTCCGTTTTCTGGATTGCGAGCTCCTACGATTTCTCTCTGGCTAGCGTAGAGTGTGCATTTGTTGCGGAGACACGATACTACATATCAAAACCCTGCTTAGTCAGGGACGAATCGCCACTAGACCTGTACCCATGGTCAAGGAGCAAGCAAGCATGGAGTCGGTGACTGAAGGAGCGATGTACTATATCAACAACTCGGAAGTATCTTGAGCATCTAGGTAGGTTTAGGAGAAACGGTCGCAATAGTATCAGGCACATCCCAATCACAAAAGTTCCGGAAGAAGCCCTCTCTTGTAGAACACTTTGAGTACTTTCTCATTTCCCTAGAAGACATGCTGTAGTACACAGTGATTCGCGATCCTTTGACGACTCACGTGATATCAGTCGGGGCTCTATCCGAGTCACTCAAGAATAGACTCTTGCAAAATCATTTGAGGAACAACAGTACAACGCTTTGGCTCCGCATAATAATCAATGGGCAGCCTATGCAATTCAACGAATCAGCAACGAACAGAACCCAAGTATCTTCAACGGGACCAAGCCTCATCCTTCTCTAAGAGGTCCCTTTAATATCCTCTCCCGGCAGCGCCTCTGCACCCATCGGAATCTTTGTCCCATTCGGCAACAGTCTTAAGAGCATTATGTCCGGCTGGCAGAGCACTCCCTTCTCCGCAAAAATTCAATGCTGCAGATACGCCAATGTTACATTTTCGAGGACTGTCGGAATTATGGCGGCGGAACGTTGCCTCACAATATTCACTTGCGGAACGATTGAGGCTTTGGAGATTCTGTATGAGCTTATCGCACTGTCATCTATGATGATCAGTGAAGGATTGATAAGAGGAAAGGAAAGGAAGGGCTGCATACTCATGCCAAAGAAGGGCTGAATTGGGCACTGTTGCACTGTCAGTGAAGGCAAAATGAACGCCCCCTCTGACAGACGTAGTTTACTCCTTAAATGTAGCCTTGAGTAGTGTAGCACAATGGGAGTCTCTCGAACGCCACTTGATACGTCTAATTCGGTGTTTTGACGTCACCAAGAGACTTCAATGAAGGAAAAAACTCTCAAGACAGCTCAACGCAAAGAATAGGGAAAACCAAGCCCTCAGATATGCTCCTAGAACAGATGCAAAAATACGGTTCATACGTTTAATATTGGGTCACTTACCTTATGCGCAGCGTGTAATCAGGATTGAGAACCCTCTTGATCGATTGAGAATATATGTCCATGGAGCCAATAGCGACACCTTAAGAGGAAGACACTCACCTGCGCCACCTACCCCAAATAGACCCGAAACCTTCAATAGCAAGATGCGTACACCATAGGGTCGCAATACGGCATCTGGTCTACTTCGCGAAGACTCATCGGGTCAACACCCCGAGGACTTTCATCAGAGCTCACAGTTGTGTTCTCGGTGACTCCATTCTCATCGTAGGTCTTGGCCGAAAAGTTTGGCCCAAGCAATGGCTCCCAGCCCATATCCGATGCGACCCCCAACTCGACTTCAACAACCACACACTGAAGCACCTCAAAGCTCGACAATCGTGCATGTGGATTGAATTCCAGAGTTCCGTTGATGACAAGGTTATGCAGCTCGTCACTGTAGAGGCCTAGAAATGACGTCGGCTCTCTCGCTCCAGGCCACCTATAGAAATCATGGTGAGGCATACCTTCTGGACGGGGTCGGAGTGGAGGACGTCCATCATGCGCCAACGCGTCTACGCAGATGTCAAAGTCAGCGTTGTTTCTTCGGCGCAGAAATAAGATTTGGAGTGGCAAGACAGGTCTCGGGTGTAGAAAGGTCTTCTTGCTCCCGAAACATGTCTTGCGACTCAACTTCAATACCAAATAGGAAGGATCAGCTGGGAATTGTACGTACGGATCACGGCACCAAGAGCCCACACATCTGCCTTCTTCGAAGTCACTGGCATCTCTGGAGGCTGCCACCTGCGCCCCTGAGTCAGTACGGCTTCTCAAGAAACTTATGTTGCAAATCAAGATGGGGAAGCATCATGATCACTTACTTCCAAGTCCCAGAAAAGGAGGTTTCATCAACGGTAGCAAGGCCGAAGTCGCCAAGAACAAGCGATGGATAGCCATGGCTGTCAGGAGTTGGAGGGCCAAGAAAGATGTTTTCTGGCTTGATGTCCCCATGGATGATTGGCTGCCACCTACACATTCCAAAGTTAGCATGGCTTCTTTGAGGCAGATTCACAGACTGTAAGGCACTTACTCCGAATCAGGTGGAGGACCACCAAGTTGTCGCCGGTCGTAACCGTGATGGATATAGGCCAAACCCTCGCTGATTTGGAGGAAACAATGCCAGATGAACGACTCCGGTACTCCTTGCCACTCTTCGATGTAGCGGACCATGAGTTTGAAGAGATCTCCACCCGGGTAGTAATCGAAGTAGAGCTGCATCGTGTTGGTGTGCATGATCGCTTCATGGAGAACCACGATTCGAGGATGATCATAAAGAATGTTCCGCAGGATCTCGATTTCGAGAGGTTTCGAGATGCTCTTGCGCCGCTTTTGAACCTTGCAGACGCGCAGACTCATATTGGACCTATTTTGTAGCAATAAACAGTTTCCGTAGCCACCTGATCCAACGTGACCAACCTGTTTGTAACTCTCGACCTCGTCAAACCTCGATCTCTTATAGTTCCTAACAATGTTGGTATTGCAAAGCTTGAAATCAGAGGATGTCTTGTCTGCCAGCGAATGAGGAGCAGAGGATACTGTTTCTGCCATGTCGTCGTTCGAAAAAGCCATTGACGTCGAAAATGGGTTCGTCATCGCGGTTCACACGTAGACAAAGTTCCTTGTTGAGGAGGCCGCAGGCAAGGAAACTTTAAAGAGCTTGATAAGGGCGTGGCAGGGGACGCGTTGATTATGTGCTTGAAACCGCAGTCGAGATTGTTAAGGAACGACTCTACTCGAGAGCAGGTGGATAGTTAAGAATGCCTGCTCATCCATCGGTGTCTCGGTTCTCGACAAAGGGTATTGTGCGTGGTGAAAGCCCTGGACATGAAAGCCACTAGCCAACAGACAAAGGTGAGGATTCACCCTTGATGGTTCCCCAAAGGGCTTTGTGCCAAATGATCGAGTCCATATCGAAAAAAAACAATCAATTGTATTGGCTTAAAGGTTGATTGTCGTACAAAGACATCTACAATAGTATTGTCCTGGAAGGACACGACCTAGGGGCGAAGGGTCGAGACCGAGACCAAACTCGTGAACGGTCCCTGAAACTTTTCGCCTGATAACACATGTATACTGACCTTCAGACAAAGCTTAAACCAACTTCCAGTAATGTTCAAGTTCTCCATTCTTCACCACGTCCTTGCATACCCTCGCCCTCGCCCACATACTACCACCATATGTCTCCAAAAAATATGAGTAATTCTGCTAGCAACAGCAATGATCACAAAAGGTCCGATTTTCTGCCTGGCCTGGAAGATCTTGGAAAATTGCTCAAGGCTTGCAGTCCCAATCAAGGGAAGAAGTCCGATCGGAGCCGGATTCCAGATGGAAAGGACTGCCAAATTTGCAACATCAAAGATACATGCAAGACGGTAGTACAAGCCTCAAACGAGCTTATTGAGCAAGGAAGCTCCATATCTGAAAAAGAGACGCAGCACAACAAGGACCAGGGAATGATCAACCCTACCAGAAAGCCAACGCAACGACAGCCAAAGTACATATACACGCATCAAGACGGCGGCCAAAGACGGACATGCTCAAGACAGCCGAACAAGCCAATGAGGGTGCACCTACGAAGGCTGCAATGAATATCTCCACGCTCGGCGATGCTGAGGGGTTAATTGACGATCCAGACGCTGAGCTGGGCAATTGAGACTCCACCAGATAAAATCTGGCATTGATGGAATGTTTCCACCTCTGGAAGTCTGAAAGTTCGGCGAAGTCCTCAAACGTTCCTTGAGCCATCCTTGCTATCATCTGATGGCTTTCATCCAGTGGTGTCTAAAAACACCCTCCATAGATCAGATGTTGGCGAGAAACAAGTAGTAAAGCATTGAAACGTCCGTTCCTTGAATGTTGTAACCAAGCTCGCAAGGCAAAGTCTCCCTTAATTTCGAGCAACCTTTCGAGCAACCTTTCCTGTTTACTATTTTGCGACAGAATTCGTGACCCACAAGGTCTGTTCACAGTCATACCATGAGATACCGCATCGGGAGCCCATTTCACGGTTTTCAGATCTCTCCTACAGTGCCCATAGTTAACATAGCATCAAGGTGCTACTGGAAAATATGGTTCATACTTTACATTCAGCTTTTTGCCAAGACTAAGAGGCGCCAAGCGCGGCTAGAGATTTACCACATCACCGGAGCTGGCCTCCATAGGTAGCGTGAGCCTCCGGTGTGACTGGTCAAGCTGAGAGTGCTTCGTGTCTCGCATGGGAAAGAAAGCAACTCCACACAACCAACCTGAACCCATCTACCAGCCCATTAAGCGATATAGCCATAAGTACACCCGAAACGATAGGCATTCGCCGTACAATTCGCGGCCGCACAAAAATTCTGTGGATTCTACGGCAATTCCACCAATCCGCTATTCCCACCACGATTCAGGGGGCCCGTAAACGTGTTGATGCCCTGCGCCTGGATACCACAATCTCCAGTCTTTATATGGTACTCCGGGCTCGAGCGCGTCCAGTCGTCTGCGTTCGCGGGGTACGGTGATGGGCGCTTGCAAAGTGGTTCCGGCGAATTGCCCCCCTTAATGTGGCTGCGTAGGGAGAAAGGTCAGGGAAAGGCTCGTTGAGGTGGGTAACGCGGTAACTGCCGGCGTAATTGGGGCCATCTTAATGTGGGGAGCTATTGATCGGATTGGTTGTTGCGTTGTTGCCGATTCGGGGCTGGCCGTAGGTCTACTAGTCGCATGTTAATATTCGAGAGAGGGTATTGGGAGAGTATGGGCTGCGTACCAATGAGGTGGAGGTGCTGTTGACGGCCCGAAGCTCGGTGGCAGCTACGCCTGCGTGGGTGACGCGTAGACTGTGGCCTGTGACCCCAGCATCGTAACTGGGATTACTTTCAGTCAGTTCAGAACCCCAATGTGTAAATGGAAACCAAGATCAGTCAATTCGACCCATTCATCCTCGGAGGAGTCGGGTTCCATCAGCTGTACTCTTCACAAACCCGGAACAGGCTTAGACAGTACAAATCTGGGGCGCAATTCCTGTAGTTACCAGAAATGTCAACTCGACTTATTAATTGCACCTCGCCACCCCCATTGAGCACCGTTATACATAATCTGATCCACTACATTTCCATGCCGTCGCCGTCGCTGTCGCCGTCATTGAAATACTCGTTTGTAGCTGTGTTGAGATTTGGATATTAACAAAGAACGATTGTCTGCACAATGAATTTGGAAAAGCAAACAGCATGCGAAACTCAATACGATTCTTCCTCGAAGCGGCGATGAGATATGGTAGTGTTTATCTGGTGCGCGGGTATAAGGCAGCTTGCGTAAACACATGCAGCTAAGAGAACACGTGAAGAAGCAACGTGCCTCTAACCCGACTGTCCAGTGGACTTGTGAGAGATCAAGGTTTAATCACGAGATCCGTGAAGCTGGTGCATTACACACGACCTTGGTCCGGTCATAAATCAGCCAAAGTCATTGTTCCATCAGAGACAATTTATGATCGTGGTTTATCTTGCGACTTAAAAAGTGCAGCCCTCCATGGCACAATCCTCCCCTTCTTCACGAGTCAGCTCTTGTACAACACCGCTCCTACATTGTTTCGGTGCGCGTAAAGATTTAACAAATTCGTCCTCCGTGAGCCAAAAGACACTGAGCAGGAAGATGAAGGTGCTGTATATGCGGGTTTTTGATAAGACACTCCGGAAGCTGGCCTTGACGCAGCTCGAAGCCGCGACGGGATGATCTGGACAGGGCACTCGTAAGTATCAAAACACGAGAAGGACAAGAGGATCAAATTGCTAACGCTAAGAAGACACACAGAGAATAGTGAGCATCTCCGCTGTCACATGCTCATAGCGGTGTACCATCATTGCAGACACACCAAACATCAAGGGAAATAATAGCCGTACACCTCTGGGATCAAGTAAGTCTTTGTTGAGGCCCGAATTGGCAGGAACCGGGAAGCGCTTACCAGGTCGACATGCGGATGGGTCGTCTACTTCATGATACCAGCGCGATGGCCACTGGGCATTCTGAGTATCATTGTTGACTTTCATGGGCTCGACACGTAAAGGCTGGGATATTTGAGCAGGTTGCTCCTTAAGTCGCATGACTGTGGAGGAGTCAGACTTCAAAACCCCGAAGATCTTACAGAGTACCTCATCATCATTGCGGTTAGCCAGTCTGTCGGTAGTCGAAGTGGCTTTTTATAGCTTGCCAGCACTTCCGTGGGAAGCTTTCGGCTATCTTCTTCGGCCAAGGTCAGGCTTGTCACTACCAGGATCTCGGGAGGATGTACTTATCCCCGAGTTGGGCTGATATTACTTGGCATGAGCAGAATTTTACCCGTTAGTGTCAGTAGCAAGGGTGCGCATAGCTTGGAGAAGGCGCGTGAAGTTTGGCAGGCTTCATCTTTTCTCATTAAGGAACAGCGTATGGAGCAAACCGAAGAGTATTGGAGAGCCCTAAGGAAAGGTTGAATCACGCCCTGCACGCCGGATCAGAAACAAACAATCCGACTTCGGCCCCATATGACTACACGACTATCTCATGCTGATTCGTCCTGGTATCACTGTTCCTTCACATTATCATGGTTCTTTTGCACTTAGTCACTCTCAAGCTTCGCCTTTCCCTTTCTTCTTTTGCTCCACCTTCAACAACAGAGCACGGTTGATATGCGGCAGCACACCTCCGAAGGCGATGGTCGCACGAATCAGGGTATCCAATTCTTCATCACCGCGAATGGCAAGCTGTAAATGGCGAGGAGTGATACGCTTGACTTTGAGATCTTTGGCGGCGTTACCGGCAAGCTCGAGGACTTCGGCTGTGAGGTATTCGAGTACGGCGGTGACATAGACGGCGGCTAGTAGATTCCGAATATTAGTCTAAGTCTTGCAGGAGACAGGTTGTCCTCGGTCTGGGGACTGAAACATTTATGGTGAGAAAACCTCGGACATACCCTTGGCGCCAACGCGCATCTTGTTCTGCGTGGTGTTTCTTAGGAAACGCTTGACACGGCCGCAGGGGAACTGTTTTAGGACATGAGGAGTCAGTAATAATTTATTATGTATCGGAAAATTGATAGGCTAAGCGGCAGGCTTTGTTGAAACCACGCGCAGAGAGTGTGCGGTGAGCTGCGGCGCGTCCTTGATACCAACAAATGGAAGCCGGAGCACATTGCGCGCGCTCTGACTCTTGAAGTCCAATGGACACAAGGCAACTATTCTGCTCTGGCTGGAGTCGAGGCGCCGAGGACGCGCCCACCGTAGACAGAGATGAGCGTTGAGAAGTGAGAGAAGATTGATACTGACTTGTAGACCAGCTTTGGCAGAGTGCGACTTCTGCTTATGCGGTGGACTCTCTTTGGGTCCTGCCTTCCCACCAGTGGATTTGCCTTTTCCGCCAGCCATTTTGCGTTCGATCTTGTTCGAAAGCTAGAATAGGTTTGAGGATGGTTACGCGACGCCAGTGGAGTATTGGTGAGGGTGTGGTGATACCGTTGTGTAGACGCGAGATCCTTGTTGAAAAAGTGACGATGGTTGATAGTGTGATGGTCCGGGAGGCTGCGAGGCGTGATGTTGTGTTTTCGAAACTGCTAGGCATAACGCTATCTCGATGCACTCTAGTGCTATCAAAGGTCACGTGCACCCAGCTTCTGCCGCCGCACTCGAGCTGATGCTGCGACGAAAGGCTTCATAGTGGCATTTGAATGTAAGAGCCATGTTAAATGTAATGTGAGTTCTGCTTCGTGTGCGTTGACCCAGAGAGAGCCTGTTCAAATTGATGCCGGTGAGGGAGAGAAATTTTCTTGACTTGCTATCAGACCATACATCGCCGTCCGATTATCTTGGACATAATGGTGGCGTTCAAGGCCGGAGACGACATAGCTCAAAGCTGAGGAGAGACATTATTGTTGCCACTGCCTGTCATGAGTTCGAAGAAGCCAAAGAAAGAAGATGTCCAAAAAGGGTGAGTAGTTGAGGCATCCCAATCTCGTCGCATTGAAGCGCCGGTATCAATACAACAGCGCTATACTAGCGGCGTAAACTATAGCCTTACATTCACTTGCAGCAGAAACACCACAGGAAATCGTCGTTCTACAGACACACCTTCACAATGGCAGCAGTAAGGCTTGATCATTCGAAGCAAATATCGTTTGCTGATATGTGTTCTAGGCTATTACAACTGTCTCTGAGAGCCGCGACCTTCGCGGCCTCAACCTCGTCGCTGCCCATTCTCATATTCGCGGATTAGGCGTGGATGAAGATACATTAACGCCGCGAGCCTCTTCTCAGGGGCTCGTCGGTCAAGAAAGAGCAAGAAAAGCAGCTGCAGTTATATTACAGATGGTCAAGGAAGGCAAGATTGCTGGAAGAGCTGTATTGATCGCTGGTCCACCAAGCACTGGGAAGACTGCAATAGCAATGGGGATGGCTCAATCGCTAGGATCGGACACACCTTTCACCATGCTAGCATCATCAGAAATCTTTTCGCTGGAGATGTCCAAGACGGAGGCCTTGACGCAGGCGTTCCGAAAATCGATTGGTGTGCGAATAAAGGAGGAGAGCGAGATGATCGAGGGAGAAGTGGTGGAGATACAGATAGACCGGAGTGTGACAGGGGTTCGTGCTGTCTCTCTGGATGTCGAGACGGATTGCGGGACTGACAGAGACTACCACTGCAGGG